TTCTAAAAACCCATTTAGTTCCAATGACATTTTGATGTGATGGTCTTGGTACTAGTTCCCATACTTCATTTCGTTCAAATTGATGAAGTTCTTCTTGCATAGCTATTACCCAGTCAGGATCACATAAAGCTTCATCTATAGATTTCGGCTCTATTTGGGATAAGAAGCATGCCATCATACTTTCGTGTAATGACGCTCTTGTTCTAACACCTTCTTGAACATCTCCAATAACTTGATCTGGTGGATGATCTTTCAACCATCTAAGATCTGGCTCAAAGACATCTTGAGAAAGCTGAGTGTCCATCTCTGGGATATAGGGAAGGTCTATGTAGATCATTGGTTCAGGTGGTGCGTTGCTAGAAGGATTGATAGGTTGATTTCCATTTGCTTGTTCAGATGACATTTCGGGTTCTGGTACTTTCGTCTGATACTTCATGTAGGACGAAAGTAAGTCTTCTTCGTCTGAGATGTCTTCATCTACGGATTTCTGGGTATTTTGAGCTGAGATAGCAGGTATCTTGTATCCAGAAGGGTTTTTCTCAGATTGCTCATCAAATTTGACGTGGATGGATTCTTCGATAATCATTGTTCGCTTGTTCAGAACTCTGAATGCTTTGCTTATGGATGAATATCCCATGAATAATCCTTCGTCAGCTCTTTCGTCAAATGTTTTAAGATAGCTTTTGCCATTGTTGTGAATAAAACACCTGCAACCAAAAACATGAAAATATCCAATATTTGGAGTTTTACCTTTCCATAGCTCATATGGTGTTTTGTTGTGAGACTTGTTGATTAAGGATCTGTTCTGTGTATAGCATGCGGTGTTTATGGCTTCAGCCCAAAATCTCTTTGGTAGACCTGAGTGTGAGATCATTGTTCGTGCTGCTTCTTTTAGAGTTCTATTTCTTCTTTCGGCTACTCCGTTTTGCTGAGGCGTTCGTGCTGCCGAGAGTTGATGAAATATTCCATTTTGAGCACAGAAATCCTTTATCACTTTGTTGACAAATTCGGTTCCTTGATCCGATCTGATTCTTGTTATTTTGACTTCCTTTTCTGTTTGAAGTTGCTTCAGAAGATTTGGCAGAGCCGTTTCTGTTTCATTCTTCTTTTTCAAGAAAATAACCCATGTATATCTTGAAAAGTCATCTACTACCACAAGGGTATACTTTCTTCCGCTTATACTTGCTGGATCTATTGGTCCAAAAAGATCCATGTGCAGAAGGCTTAGAGATCGAGAACTTGTGTCTACATCTTTTGATTTGAAGGACGATCTCAGCTGTTTTCCCTTTTGGCAGGCATCACATAACCTATCTTTCGTGTAAGATGTTTCGGGTAAGCCTCTCACAAGATTCCTTTTTGCAAGCTTATTTATTGTCTTCATGTTCAAGTGGCTTAGCTTGTTGTGCCATTCTTGATTGAGATCTGCATTGCTCTTAGCTACAAGACAAATGTTAGTATTAGAAGAATTTAATGAAATTACATACATGTTCTTCTTTCGTTGGCCTGTAAGTGCTGTCCTGCCATCCTTCGTGTTTATGATTTTGCACTCTTCTTTAAGGAATTCTACTTTGTATCCTTTATCGCAGAACTGACTTGTGCTTAGAAGGTTGAATTTAAGTTCTTCTACATAGGAGACATCTTGTATGATTATTCCTTTCTTGATGATATCTCCTTTTCCTCGAGTCCATTAGAACTTTCCACACTTCCATAGCATTTTTACATTTTCTGACTCTGGGGAAGAGTGAATCATCTAGAGAGTTGTAAAGAATGTTCCTTGCCACATTGTCCAGGTTTGCTCTTGTTCTTTCTTCCGAGTTATACTGCTCTTTCGGCTTTGGTATTATTTGTGGAGCATCTGGTCCTTGAGCAGCAGCCTGTGCATTTGCCATCATCACTGTGATAGGTCCAGTAGTTATGACGTCCCACATTTCATCATGAATAGAGCACAGAAGAGTCTGCATTCTTAATTTCCAGTCATCAAACTTGGCAAGACTAAAAGCAAGCTGTCTAGAGCGATTTTGTGCATGTTCCTTTTCCATTTTTTTTTAAAAAAATCGTGCAACTAGGAAGATCCCAAAAAAAAAAACAAAGGTGGATCTACCAAGCAGTAAAACGCAAAAAGCCTTCACCGTTCAAGGTATTCGGCTCTGATACCACTTGTTGGTCCCGATAGATTGTATGGTGAGTCTAGAGGGGGGGGGGGGGGTGAATAGACTCTCGTTTTTCTTTAAATTCTTTAACAGAAAAACCTTGACAACACTTTTGAGAAGGATAAGCACAGCGGAAAGGTTATTAAGAGAGGGTTGCACGAGTTTGATGAGAAGATAAGATAAGTGATGAAAAGGATGATATGCAAGCAGTAAATTAAAGCAGTAAGTAAAGAGAGGAGCGAGACGAGATTTTATAGTGGTTCGGCCAAACTTTGCCTACTTCCACTCTTCTTCCACAACTGCTGGAAGGATTGCACTATCACTTCTTTAGTACAAATACACAAAGACTTCCTTGATCACTAAGCCGAACAGCCTTTGAAGGTTTTTCAACTCCGAGAGTTTACTCCGCCTCTATCAACTTCTTCTTCTAAGTTGAGGTTGGTGAGAAAGAATTTCTTGATTCCTCCAACTGTGAAGTCTTGTAGGTGAGGGATGATTGCTTCAAATGTGCAAGACTTCTTACAAGATGTAGGGCAGTGATGGATGATCTACTTCAAATGCCTTAACACCTTAACTAGCTGGTTCACAAAAAGCTTTGATATTTGATCACTTTTAAGAGCTTTTTGCAAGAGAGAGAGTAGTGTGATAAAAATGAACCAGCACCTTCTTAGTTGATGAAGGTTGGTTTATATAGGTGATGAAAATTCATCCGTTGGAGGGAAATGAATTTTTAAATCTTTTATCTGTTGGACAAGGACCATGGAGCCTCATGCATTTAATGCTTCATTAATGGGTTTGTACTATGTAGCCGTTGAAGGTATGGAGGATCTGATGACTTTTGTCTTTTAGCTCCAGAGATAGTACAACTTCATTAAATGCTCTTCGGGTAGCGTGTCCCATGAGTTGAGGTCCTTATTGTCCTAGGATGTTGTCACATCAGACAGGTAGAACATTCTTCTTGTTGATGAGAAGAAGGATACTTGTTGAAAAGAACTGTCTTCTTAATGACAACTCCTTCTTTCGTTGCTGTGGAGTCTTCTTTCGTCTTGATCAGCCTATCTTCTATTCATAACTCCTTTCGTGTGTTTGTTCTAGCTTAACACGAATTACAAATGAGTTATGGCAACTTTCGTCTTAGAACGAAAGTAGCGATACAATAAAAACGAAGGAGTTAGGGGTCTACTTTCTACATTACATTGGTATCATCAAAATCCTAATACATGGTTCCTAACAAATAATATTAGAAAAGTTGAGTAGCACAATTACACCACCATCCTTGAACCAATATAAAATTTTTGTATCATTTTACTTTGCCCACTTCAACATCACTCACATTATTTACTTTGTTTTTTTTTTTTTCCTCTATGTGACTAATAATTTTTCAAAATCTATTTTTGGCGTACTAAATTTCAATATTGTTGAGAAAATTAACTTCTTTAGTCAAATCTTCCAAGTCAAGCGCCAAAAGCGCAACTTTTAAATTTAAAAAGTCTAGTCACATTTTCTCTAAATTTTTTTTTTTATCACGGTCAACATCATAAAAATATTCTTTTTCATCATGGTCGGGATCATAATATGTGTGTGTGTGTATGTGTGTGTGTGTATATAAAATATATATATATATACACACACACACACAATGAGTTAATAATGTTAACTACGTAAATCAATTGTAAATAAAAAAAAATCATAACAATAAAATAGAGTTTAATACAATAAAGGTTCATACTCCAACATAACCAATAAGTTCTCATGCTCCAACAAGTTTTCAGTTCTCATATATTGTAATAACAACTAATTAACACGCGTAATCATAAAAGGAGTTCAATTATCACATTGATCACTGAACTCATTTATTCAGATATTTTTATATATAACTCTATTGTTCCGCTCATGAATGCAACATACTAAAACATGCTACGTCATATGCATTTGAAACCCTTTGGAGCCCTGCGTCCACACAGCTTGAGAAGAGTATATGTAGCAATGTCGACATTGTTGATACGGCGAACAGTGAGTTTAGATGATGTGCAAAGACATGTAGCAGCTTGGAGATTAGTCAGCCCTCTAAGGCAGTTGCAGCAAGGCCTTATGGGAATACTGTGATCAATCTGCAAGACTGAACCGATCTTCTTGAGTGCAAGAGCACATGCACCCAACTCTAGTCTGTCTCTAGGGCATGTTCCACCGTTGTTATTAGAAGGTGGGATAGCAGGTTGACCACCATTGCCACTGTTAGGAGGTGAGATAGGGGGTTGGGTGGCATTGACACCGTTGGAAGAAGGTGAGATAGGGGGTTGCAAAGTACCACCATCATTGCCACTTGGAGGGGAGATAGGGGGTTTACCATTATTTGGAGGTGCGGTAGAGGGTTGACCACCACTACTAACATTACTTAGAGGTGACAAAGAGGGTTGCCCACTACCCGGAGGTGAGATAGTGGGTTGGCTATTACTCGCAGGTGAGATAGGCGGTTGACCACTACTTGGTTGTAGGATAGGTGGTCTGCCACCACTTGGAGGTGAAACGATTGGTTGACCATTACCTGAAGGTACTATAGGGGGCAGACCACCACCTGAAGGTGAGATAGGGGGTTGGTTATTACTCGCAGGTGAGACAGGTGGTTGACCACTACCTGGTGGTGGGATAGGTGGTTGGTCACCACTTGAAGGTGAAACAGTGGGTTGACCATTACCTGAAGGTACAATAGGGGGTAGACCAGAAACCGAATGTGAGATAGGAGGTTGGCCACTACCTGAAGGTGAGATAGGGGGTTGGCCACCAACCGAAGGTGAGATAGGGGGTTGAGCACCGGCCGAAGGTGAGATAGGGGGTTGCAAAGTACCACCATCATTGCCACTTGGAGGGGAGATAGGGGGTTTACCATTATTTGGAGGTGCGGTAGAGGGTTGGCCACCACTACTAACATTACTTAGAGGTGACAAAGAGGGTTGCCCACTACCCGGAGGTGAGATAGTGGGTTGGCTATTACTCGCAGGTGAGACAGGCGGTGGACCACTACTTGGTTGTAGGATAGGTGGTCTGCCACCACTTGGAGGTGAAACGATTGGTTGACCATTACCTGAAGGTACTATAGGGGGCAGACCACCACCTGAAGGTGACATAGGGGGTTGGCCATTACTCGCAGGTGAGACAGGTGGTTGACCACTACCTGGTGGTGGGATAGGTGGTTGGTCACCACTTGAAGGTGAAACAGTGGGTTGACCATTACCTGAAGGTACAATAGGGGGTTGACCAGAAACCGAATGTGAGATAGGAGGTTGGCCACCACCTGAAGGTGAGATAGGGGGTTGGCCACCAACCGAAGGTGAGATAGGGGGTTGAGCACCAGCTGAAGGTGAGATAGGGGGTTGGCCACCACCCGAAGGTGAGATAGGGGGTTGGCCACCAACCGAAGGTGAGATAGGGGGTTGGCCACCACCCGAAGGTGAGATAGGGGGTTGTCCACCACCCGAAGGTAAGATAGGAGGTTGACTAGAACCGGAAGGTGAGATAGGGGGTTGGGCACCACCCGAAGGTGAGATCAGGGGTTGGGCACCAACCGAAGGTGAGATAGGGGGTTGTCCACCAACCGAAGTTGGGATAGGGGGTTGTCCACCAACCGAAGGTGAGATAGGGGTTTGGCCACTACCTGCAGGTGAGATAGGTGGTTGGCCACTACCCTGAGGTGAGACAGGGGGTTGGCTACTGCCATCATTGCTAGGTGGTGTTCCACTACTACCGGGTGAGATAGGGGGTTGGCCACTACTACCGGGTGAGATAGGGGGCTGGCCACTACTATCGGGTGATAGGGGTGGTTGGCCGCTACCCTGAGGTGAGATACCACCAGGTGGTTGGCCACTACCGGGAGAAATAGGGGGTTGACCAATACCCGTAGGTGACATGGGTGGTTGGCCATTTCCACTAGTGTTAGGTGGTGAGATAGGCGGTATGCTATTACCAGGAGAGATAGGGGAATTAGGAGGTTGGCCACTAACAGAAGGTGGGATAGAGGGTTGGCCTCCTCCACCAATACTAGGAGGTGAGAATGGGGGTTGGCCAGTTTCGATACATGTACAAGGAGTTGGGGTGGGTGCGTATTGAGAATTAGCAATAGCAAGGAATAGGAAAATGAGGGAAAGTAAAAGGATGGTTGGGGCTTGGGATTTAGAATCCATACCCAAGAAATTAATGCAAATGTTTGTGATTTTTTTTGCTAGTAAGTTGATTGAAGAGTTTGTGAAAGGTGATGAGTATTTATATTTGCAAGTGATGAGCTTATTTATTTCAAAGAAATATGATTAATTGATCTAATGGTACAATTTCACTTGGAGTCCCTAAATTTCTACTATTAACATATGGGTGTCTTCATATCTTATAAATCACACCTAATTCCCATAAATTTTATTGTATTTTTCATTATTTCATTTCATAATGATTTCCTATTAATTATTTATCATGCATAAAGGAATTTTCTAACAGATCAGAATAATATACAAAATTTACTTCTTATGTTATTTGTAAAATAATTTAGAGTCAAAGTGTAATTTGGTTAACCCTCAAAGGTGAATTGGAAAATAGTAAATTTGACTAATGAGATTGTTGTACTCCGCCATTGTTCCCATTAAAGTGTTAGGCATGTAATTAAAAGTAGATGAAGGACTACTTATTACAACCAAATTAAAATTAACTCTCGTGAATTTCTTATTTTAGTAATTACAAATATTTGTATTAGAACATTACACATATCTTGATCAATGAGGTGGATTATTTCAAAAAATAAGTATGCGTGTTTGGGCTAGCTACAATAAGCAAATTATATCGTGCATCGCGGTGCATAATCGATTATGCACCGTGCATCAAAACGACGTCGTTTTGTTTAATGAAAAAAAAAGGCATCTATTTCGCGTCGTTCTGCACCTTTCCGCAAAAAGTAACTCTGTTATTCAATTTCATTTTGTATACACTGCAATTTCAGTTCAACACAACTACAGTTTCATTTCGATATAACTACAGTTTCATTCCATATTTATAGACTCAAATATGTGAAAATATTATTTCATTTTATTTTATATACATTATAGTTTTATTAAAACACAACTACATGATCATTTTGATATAATTATAGCTTCATTGTGAAATGTTATTCAATTTCATGTGAAATGTTATTCAATATACACTCAAATATGTGAAATATTATTCAATTTCATTTTATATATACTGCAGTTTCATTTCACCACAACTACAGTATCATTTTGATATAATTGCAGTTTCATTTGATAATATAAAAATAATACGTGAGACAGTGTCGAATTAGATATACTACAGTGTCAGTTTAGATACACTGTAGTGTCAATTGATAATTAACATACAAAAAATGTGCGCTCTGTTAATACTAACGGCGCGTCGTTTCTTTACTTAAAGAAACCGCGCCGTTTTGACCGTGCACCGCGGTCCACGATATAACGACTGGCTACAATATTAAGGAAACATAAAATATTTTTACATTATATTAAATAATTTATTACATTAAAAATATTAATTTATTAGAGAGAGGAACTTTTAGCAACACATTTCAAACTAGCTTCTTAAAAAGTTATAATGTATTTGTATTTGATTTTTAAAATTCATCTTGTGAATTAAAAATTTGTAAAAATGATGATGTCCTTATAAATTAAATCATTTTTATTAAGTCACTATTTTTGGTTGAAACAATTACTGAATTAAGCCATCCACTATTTAATATAATTATTTAAATACAATTTAAGCGATTATAACACTACATCCACTACGTACTCCATTAATTTATTTAGGTATACACTTAGGACAACGCGTGAGAATTCACTTTGTCAACGTACGTCCTCCTAGCTAGTGCGGACAAAACTACAATCGTTATACCGTGCACCAGGGCACATAGCAATGTGCGCTCCGCACCTACTAAAACGACGCCGTTTTATATTCTGTTATAAAATTCTTTACATTCAAAACAGGGGATTTTTATGCTTTTAAAAAAAATTATGTGTTTTCAGGTATAAAATTATGTGTTTTCTATTATATAATTTTGCACATTCAAAACATGAGAATTTTCAGTTATAAAATTCTGTGTTTTCACTTTTCAGGTATAAAATTATGTGTTTTCTATTATATAATTCTGTACATTCGAAACATGAGGATTTTCATTTATAAAAATTATGTGTTTTCAGGTATAAAATTATGTGTTTTCAGGTATAAAATTATGTGTTTTCAAGTATAAAATTATGTATTTTCAGGTATAAAATTCTGTGTTTTCTATTATACAATTCTGTACATTCGAAACATGAATTTTTTTTAAAAGGTACAAAATGACGTCGTTTTGGGTCATGACACACAATGCACTGTGCACCCTGGTGCACGATATAATTTGACACAAAACTATACATGATATAACTTTTTAAGAGGGTCTGAGGGTGAACCATGTGGGATATCCGGTAGAACATGCTTACAGTTAAAAAATAATAAGGGCCGATATTATCTATCCATTTAAGTAGATCAGATATATTAAGAGTGGTTAAAAAATAATAAAAAATGAAGTTTGTTTTAATATTGCAAAGTGTTAATTTCAACGGAGGTTCTTTGTCTTGGATAGTAATTTTAAATTTAGTTTCAGACTATCATTTTTACCATTTAACACCCTAGACTATCATATTTTAAACACTTTTGGTTATTTTGATGATTTTTCTAGTGAAACTCTATTTTAGACAAGGGTATTTTTTAGGAAAAAGCACCACAATGAAATGCACAAATATACCAAAAAACACACAACACACCCCAAAAATACACCATATAACTCACCACTCCAATGGTGTATTCTGAACACTCTATGATGCTTTTAGTCATACCTAGTGATGCGTATCGAATTTGTGCATGTTTTTTTGGTGTGCATTTTCTAACATGGATGGTGTATATTTGTATAACTATTAGTGCGGTCGCACTGACCGCTCGGGAAGGCACCAACACGAATTCTCAAATACACCACAGTAAGGTTAATAATGCACCAAGAATGAACATAAAACACACAACACTATGATTTGATATATTATGGTGCCCAATGACGACTTTAACCTTGCAGTTCGCGTACTGTGAGAACGCGCGCGAAAATATCGGAAAAGCCTTGATGAATGTGATTCGTTGGATTTATCTAATCTAATGGCCTACAATTAACCGCACCGCCACACCTAAGTGCACTGCCGCACTTGAACCTTCCTCTATATATATATATATATATATATCTTGTCGCTAGAGCGAGCTTTCTATATAATAATTTTGTGACTCTTCTGGAGCTCATGTTAATAAAACTGTGAACAAATCTATTATCTTGTTAAATTTTATTTAATGTACCCATTTGTTATTTATGCAATACAAGCTTTATTGTCTTCACATTGGACAATAAAGGTACTTCATACTCTTCATATAAGAGTGGGGATAATTCATAGTTATGCAAGTATAAATTATATCTTGATTTCTTTCATAATGCAACTACTGGAACAAAAAGCAAATACATACACAATTTAGTCCTCAAATACAATCGTGATAATTCATACATATAGTAGATACCCAATTTAGTCATCAACAAATAGCCAATAGTACTTGATTTCTTTCATTATGCAAGTTAATACCAAATTGATTCATTGACTATAGTTGTTTTTCTCGATTTAGTCCTAAATGACATTATTTTGTGTTTAATTTAGTCTTAAACTATTGGACAAAGACAAAATAATATTCTGATGAAAATGTTGAGGCAAGCTATTAGGCATTTTCATTGTTTAAGTTGTTAGTGAAGGTATAAAATCTGAATTATTTGTTTATTACATGTTTGAAAATTAACAAGAACAACAAACAATAATAATGGTAGAAAAGTATAAAAAAAAAATTACGAGGTTTGGCAATAATGTGCCTACGTCCACATGAGTGAAAAACTATTTTTTATTCATAGTGATGGTGATATTGGTTATACAACACCTAGGAATACAACAATGTATTTATAGGCATATATCCCTATACAATGGCCTGACCCAATCCGCGCCACTCATATTCCTTATATGAGACAAATTCATTTTCCTTATATGAGACAAACTCAACAATCTCCACATTGATGAATATGCCCTTTTAAGAGAAAAGACTTATCTCACAATCTCCACCTTGACGAATATGCCCTTTAGGAGAAAAGACAACTCAGCAAATCTCTATCTTGACGAATATGCCCCTTAGGAGAAAATACTTATCTCACATATACACATGAGTCGGAGCAAACATGATCATCCCAACTGCCCAGCATCATGCACCACGCAGCATCAAATGTTTCCTAATGCATTTTCACTAACTGCTTCGTACCGAACCATTCACCTTCAGCCGTCGATCTGCCATACTAGCCGCGACTCATGCTATATCGAGCATGCACCACGCTCTATTTAGCGTTCCTCGGTGCATGCTCACGAACTACTTCAATTCATCCCAAGCCGTTCGCCATTACCAGTTGACTTGCCATACCAGTCATGACTCATGCCGTCCGACCGATACCAGGTCCACACCCCTCCTGGTATTCACGCTGCCCAACACTACAAGGCCCCTCACCACCTTCACATCTTATAGCATCTAGAAACACCCAACAAGTCCAAACAATGTCTGATATTGTCACTAGTAATTGCTAGAACATCACATTCACTATAATTTGAGTCATCAACTTGTACCACGTTCGCAGCCTCTACCAGATTAGCTGGCTTTTCCACCTTCAAGGAAGACCCTAGATTGCCATATCCCGAAATTCTCATGACCATCAAACTTTAATACCTTGAATTCCGTACTTGAACTGGTCATCCCAACAGTACTCTATACCAATTTGTTGAGATCAACAAGAATAAGAAACAAAAATAATGGCAGCAAAGTAAAGAATGCAAGATTTACGTGGTTCGGCAATGTGTCTACGTTCACATGAATGAAACTATTCTTTATTCATATGGTGATACTGGTGATGATACAACACCTAAAGATACAAGCAATGTATTTATATGCATCTATCCTTATACAATAGGTCTGACCCTATCGCTCCACTCCTTATTTCTTATAATGAGACAAATTTCTATTCTTTATATTATATGAGACAAACTCAACATTATGAATATATATTTATAACTTTATAATATATTTTATGCATCCACTAGTGAATCGCTAATATTATGAAAATTGAATTTTAAATAATTTTAGTCAAACTTTTTTAATTAATTCAACAACTGAACCACACGTACATAAAATAGTACATAGGAAGTAAATAATTAATATTTAACTATCTAGTAATTTCTTAATTTTATATAATTTGTGATAACGATACACGTAACTGTAAATGGAGTTTAGTTTATCATATCACTCACTAAACTCATTTATTTAGATATTTGATATATGTAACTCGATCTACTATTCCATGTGTGAATGTGGCAGGCATTGTATAGAATGATAGGCGGGCGTTTAGCATGTGATAGCATTATTTGGAGGATTGCGATTACAAAGCTTGATAGCAGCCCTGACAGTAGCGTCGACATTGACGATGTTGCGAAGAAAAATCTGAATTGTGAAGCAAAGACATTTAGCGGCATCGGCATCGACGCCAATTCCAGAAAGGAAGCCGCAGCAACTACGCCTTCTGGAATCATTGGGAGGAATCTGTTCTGAATCACTCACCGCTTTTAGTAAATCAGTACATGCATCCAATTCCACTGGTCTCTTATTGCAACTTCCATCGCCGCTGGGAGTTGAGAACATCGGAGGTTGATTACCGCCGCCGTTGCGAGGCGGTGAGATCACCAGAGGTTGATTACCGCCGCCGTTGCTAGGAGGTGAGATCGGAGGATGATTGCCGCTGTCATCTGTAAAAGATATGGTCGTAGAAGGTTGATTACCGCCACCATTGGTAGGAGGTGAGATCGGAGGAGGATCGCCGCCGTCTTGTATAGTAATTAGGGTAGGAGATGGGACAGGTGCAAGTGCAGAAATAACGAGGGAAAACGATGCAAGGCTGAGGGAAAGTAGGAGGATGGCTAAGGCTTGGAATTTATTGGAGGCCATAGTTGAGAAATTAAAGAAAATGTAATTTGCTTTGGTTGTATGTTTGAAGTGTGCTTAATTGTAATGTAAATGTGAGTATTTATTCTTCCAAAAGGTTGAACTCCAACCCTAAGGGCTCCCCACATTCTGACCCGACAGAATATTTAGGAGGATGTAAATCATGGTAATTGTCTCCCTCACTTTGAGAGGTAATTTTCACACTATCACGGATGAGACTCGATTCCTAGTTATTCTTCTAACTTTTCACCTCTATGACCAGTTGAGCTACCCATGCGGATAAATGTGGGTATTTATAGTTGCAAGCAAGGAGGAGCATATTTAATTCAAAGAGTTAATGACTAATTTCGTCCGTTGATTATAGCGAAATTATCAATTTGATCATCGACTATTCTCCTTACCAAATTAAATCTTTAACTTTAAAAATTTATCTAATTGCGTTTGCCCGTCAATTTGAGCCGTATAATGATAATCAATTTGAGCTGTAGGATAATAACAGATCATAAGACAAAATTAGATAAGATTTTCAAAATTAAATGACTTAATTTGGTAAAGATGATAATCAAAAATCAAATTGATAATTTCACTATAGTTAAGTACCAAATCGATGATTAACTCTAATTCAAAGAAACACCATCAATTGATTCAATGGAAATTTTCTACTTGAAACCCTCTGAATTTATACTATTTACATTTGGATATTTTCTCATTTTAAAACTTTACACCTATTTCCAATCAAAGTTCATTTTTATTGTACTTTAATTTAATTCATTCCATGTTGATTTGGATATCTTCTAATTCTTTTTACTATAAATAATTTTTCCAATCAATTTTTTTTTTTCAATAATCCAATATATATGAGATATACAAATTAAAGTTCTAGTTAATATTTAAGTCTATAAAGGATGAAAAGATATAATCATAATAAAAGTCCTCTAGTAGTGTCCACATTTATTTATTTACAACAAACCCCCTTGGGCATTACTATATCATACTCATGCGTTCTTAAAAAGCTAACTAGAAAATCCCAATGTGAAAAACCTATATTATGAACTATTTATATTAGATTATGATGATACCAAACATACTAAGAATTTAGGTCATCAACCCTTTTTTTTAATATAATTTTAGAATTAGGAACTTTTTAATTATAACATCCACATAGTTATCCTTAGAGGCGAATTATACCACTCGAAAAGTAAAACAACCAGATAGTAGTTCAATCCGCAAAGTAGATTAACCAAAATAGTCTATAATTAGCCCGTATAGTCAAGATCAATTCGAGAAGACAAGAAGTCGGAGGATTAGAAGATGAAGAGTTCAAGACAAAGAGTTGAATATTCAAATGGTGCAAAGGGCAAATAATGGAAGGGTCGAATGGTTTAAAGAATCGAATGGTTCAAAGGTTTCGTAGAGTAGTAAAGCTCACGAAATATAATGTTAACGGGATATATGGTTGATACCATTCTATGATTCAAGGGTTGAATTTTCAATCAAATACCCGAGTTGTAAGGGTTGTCCAGAATTTGGATTGCAATCAAAAAAGAAGATTTTGCAAGGTTCAAGATCTGAGAAGTGACCTAGTCACCGTTTAGATAAGCCAAACTACAATCCGCACAATACATTGTCAGAAAAGTGATTAAGGATATTCCATGCCTCACAGTTCTTTCAAGGTTTCAAGTTTGCCTAGGAACATTAATCGAGTTGAGGAAGATTTTTCACTTTTGGCCAAAACAAAAAGTACACAAAAGATCTAAGTTTTCATGAGCTTAAAGTTAAGCAATGCCTGAAAATTTTAACTTGGACAACCTAACAAGCAAAACCACCATACCGGTCATTACACATTGGATAAAGACTACCCGTTTGAATTTTGTTTCCCTCTAATGAACAAATTTAAATGACTCTATAAATACCTCATTTCAAGCTGAAAGATGTGATGGTCTTTTTTCATAAGTCATACAAGAGATCAAAAAGGCTTTATAAGTGCAAATTCAAGTAAACCAGGGAGAGATAGATTCAAAATCAAAGGCTTTCATGCCATTATCGAGACCACAAGAGTTAGGCACATTCAAGCTCATCTCAAGCCAAATCAACCAAGGTGGAGAAGAATAAATTATTGGTGTTCAAAAACCATTTCTCTACTTGTATTTAAGGTAAAAATATTAGTAAAACCTCTTAAGTGTTGTGAAGAAGAGCGGAGTAGACTAAGTTAACCTAACCATTGTAAATATGCATAAATCAAATATTTTTTTTTTGTTTTAAATATGTATAAATATTAATTATTATCTATTGGTTTTATGGTTTATTGTATTACTAATAAAAAAAAAAAGTAATACAATAAATTACTAAAAAATAGTTAAATACGACAAAATCTATTTGAAACACTAACATAATGTTCAAAATCGAAAATGTTCTAAACTTAAGCATTTTAACTGTTTATGTTTCATTAATATCTTCATTAAAATAAAACATAGGTTCATTACGCTGGTATGATGGTATGTGCCCTTGTCGTTACTGGCCAAATTTGTCTTAGGCATCAAGGAATGTTGAAGACCGAAGACGAAAGGGAGGTAAATGAGAAGCAATTGACGTTTTAAAAAGAAAAATATGAAATAAGACCGAACGTGTTCTGATTATTTATTTATTTGAAAAAAGAATGTGTTCTGATTTAAAATTTGACTCATTTGTTAACTACATTGTGTTCAGATGATGCTTCTCTGATTTTTCTGGGAAAAAATTTTAATTTTGGTCATATGACTATAGGCGCTTTGTTAATTTCTGCATTTGACTTTCAAAAACGTCAATTTAGTACCTTAAGTATGCAATTTTTATCAATTTTGGTCACTCCGTCAAATTGCCGGTCAAATTTTGTCGAAAAATTTTAACAGTTAAAATAATAAGGGTATTTTAGTCATTTCACATCTTTTCAATCAGAAACAATAAAATAATAGAGGATATTCGGATATGAATATTACCCTCTCAAAATTTTTATGCATCATAGATGGGATTATTGTACTACTACTATTCCATCAATTTGTACGTTCAAATATTTGGCATGTATTTAAATTTATAGATTATGGACTGTTGAAATCGTTGTCCACTCTATTATTTTAGAGTAGTTGGTATGGTCAAAGTACGAAATTCGGCGTCAGTAATATCAGAATTATGCCTAATGTGAATAGATTCTTTATGTACACAATAATTTGACATTGTCTATTGAGCTACTGAATTTTCATGATTTATTTATCTCAAATACACTGTCGAATTTGGGTCTGAGAGGCCCGTGAATTATTATTACATGTTCCTCCATTGAATTATTAGTGATGTATATGTGATTACCCGCTGTTTTCCTGTTAGAAGACCACTTTTTTTTTCCTCCGTTTGTCTTTCTTCATTTGTTCTCTTTTCGTCAACAACAATGTTTCTCTTTCTTCTTATTAGGGGAGAGGCAATAATATACGTATCGTTTTAAAAATTGAAGGACAACACTAATAATTATGGAATAACATTGATAATTGACATATTTGTGATGGACATAAATTACAATTTTTTCTATTTTTGCCATATAACTATATTAATATAGGATAATTGACAGAAATAATTCAAAATATGACACTTTTCAAAGTTGTATAATTTCGGGAAAAAAATTTATTTGGGACGTGCGTTTCTTGTCTCCCAAATGAGTTTTTAAAAATTTCAAAATGAATTTTTTTCACTAAAATACCATAAATGCATGTGAGACATTCGTTTCTTGAATAAATATCTCACACATACATTTATCAATCATTGTCGTTTCTCGTATTATACGAGAAATGCATATCTGACATGTGTTTCTTGTATTTTAGCGAAAAAATTCATATTAAATTAAAAAAAAAAAAAACTCTTTTGAAAAATACATTTCTGACAAAAAAAAAAAAAAAAAACGCATATGCCAGCCAAATGAATTTTTTCTGCAACTATACATTTTTAAAAAATCTTTTCAATTTTGTCCTTCATTCTTAAATGATTACTATTTCAATGATTAACCTATTTTAGAGTAACATTTTTGTTAAAAAGTAACATATCCTTCTATTTCAAGTGATATTAAATTTAAAAAAAAAAATAAATGCATATCAGCTTCTAGTTGAGTGTTCTGGGAAAAGTTTCGTTATCTCTTCGCCATTGACAGCACCCCATGAAAATGGCGCCTAAACCCTTCTCTCTCTCCTCCCTCTCCTCCATCACTCCGTTCCCTCTCCCTAACCATAAACAGAATATCACCAGGATCCGAATCCGTAAACCCGAAGTCATCACCTGCAGACACTCATGGACCGAACCCGAGGGGACCGGAGCTGCGGCTCCGACACGAGGAGATATGTTCATTCAGCGCCAGCATTCCGTGTCTGCTTTGGAATCCGTGAAAGCCGCGACGAAGAAGAAAAAGCAAAAGAAGGAGAAGCTCCTGAAATTCTCGACTTTGGCTCCGAGCTGTTACGGGTGCGGAGCTCCATTACAGACATCCGAAATCGATGCTCCCGGCTATGTTGACAATGAAACCTATGATTTGGTATGGTGTTTGGAAGTCTTTTTATTATTGTGCTTGCTGGAAATATGCGTACTATATGTTTGTGATAATGTCTGTGTAGTCGGGGTAGCGTCAAGAAGTTGAACTTCCTGCTCTATGAAGCTGAATTATCAGAAAAAAATTAGAGCTTTGTTCAGTGAATTGAAATTCTGGTCTTTGTTCGTTAGTATAAACCCACTTTGAGAACCTTCAACCCAGAGTTAGATAGTGGCAGTTTGATGCTTGTTGAGTTAGTACGGGAACGATATAAATATTTGGTATACTAGAAGGGAGAAAATATTGCTTTTAGATTTTTCAATTGAATTTCACTGACACAAATTTCATGATTTGTTTGATATTTTATTATTATTATTATTTTTTGTTATTTGAAATTCTAATGATTGGTGAACATTTTGTTTAAACAGAAGAAGAAACATCATCAGCTTAGAACAATTCTTTGTGGAAGGTGCCACCT